AGGGGTGTGGCGGGTATCCCCCCCCCCCCCCCCCCAAAAAAAAAAAGAGTACTAACTGTATTATTGCATGACTACAAAAACCTTCAGAAATCAAGTTCTGAAAATGTATATAACATTCAAGTATTCACACTCTACACATGCTGGTTACGTAAAAAGGGGAAAAGGACAGGGCACAAGAAGAAAAAAAAGAGGAACAATGAAAGAGAAAGAGGAATCTGAAACAGGTGGCAGAGCAGCCGACTGAGACACTGCTGGACAGGAAACAGAATAAAAGAGAGAGAGAGAGAGGATGCATTTTTAAAATGACACACATTCTGTGCTGAACAGCCTCACACAGCAAACACACTCCTACGACAACCTGCCAGACAAATATAACCGAATATTCAGAGCCTCAAAGAGACTGAAACGCAGACTGACACTTCAGTTGTTACAGAGCACATAACTGTATGTTCACTCACAAATGCACTTCAATACTACACATAACTGTAAATTGCTGCTTACACGACATTTTACCTCTGTAATGTGTAACACACACTACTGTTCAAAGGTTTGAGGTTTTATTTTTTTTAAGAAATTTAGATTTTCATTCTTCAAGGACACATTTAAGACATTTATTATGTTACACAAGATTTAATATGTAAAATAATAACTTCTTTTAAACTTTCTATTCATCAGAATCCTGAACAATACATATTGCAGTTTCCTTAAAAAATATTTAGCAGAAAAACTGTTTTCAACATTTATCAAAAAAAAAAGTTTGTTTTTAGAATGATTTGTTACTGAAGGATCATGAAGACTGTTGTAATGACTGATGAAAATTCAGCTTTGACATCACAGGAATAAATTATATTAAATTAGGAAAGTTATTTTAAAATTTTAATATTTCACAATATTAGCGTTTAATATTTTGCACAATATCTTTAATCAAATGAATGCAACTTTAGTGAACTTATGAAATCTTACCGCCCTCAAACTTTTTAACAGTAGTGTATTTCCAAATGAAACAGGATATTCATCATCAAGAGCAGGACTGTAAAGTGAGCAATACATACTTGAATTAATTAATAAATAAATAAACGAATAGCTATTTGGCTATTAGCAAACGTTATTCAATACCACACATGTGATGTCAATAGAAAAGAAAAGCTGTCTCCAATGAAGAGCAAGTTCATGGATTAAAAAGTTTTTTTGTTTGTTTTTTTTGGAATAATGTAAACCATGTAAACTTTACTGTGAAACAAAAATACGATTAATTTCTGAATTAAAAATAACATTGGACTGCACTTTTATCCACTTGGAACTGATTGGCCATCAAAGTGGGTGTAGCATACCAGAATTCATTCATCCATTGTATATTTTTAAAGAATGGCGACGGATGATTAATAGGGAGGAATTTGAAAATAAGATGGATTCAAAATTAAATAAGTTAGTAGATAGGGACAAATGAATACATTTTGATGAAAGATTACAAAGGCAAAAGTTTTCTTTGGAATAACGTGCTGGATTGCACACAATAAGACCATAATGTTAAAAGAAAGTAAATAGCACAGGAAGAGGAAAAAAATGTAACATTTTCTTAATTAGATCCTACAGTCAGTTGCAATAAACTCCATAGGTTCAATAAAAATGTTTTAAAAAGTTAATCAAACTCCTTAAATTCTGTGTTTATGGCTTAAAATTGAAGCCTTTAAAAAATAAGACAGGAAAAGAGTGATCTGGAGAAGTGCATAAGAATCGGTCTCCTTTTTCCCCCTCCAATTTCACACACATACACACACACGTCTCAAGTCAAATAGGGCTGCATAGTTAGGACAGATCCGTGAGTATAAATGTCTCACAGTGGCTATTGTGTGGGCAGGAAGCGGCATCAGGAGCATTTCCAAACGCACACGGCCAGACTTCCCCCAAAGAACATGTAGAGCAGGTTCCTGACTTCATGGCTCACCTCGAACCCAAACCCCTCACCGATCACCACATGCCACGAACTGCCAAACTTCTTATCCATGGACTCCTTGATCATCTTGGCAGCACTCTGAAAATAGAGTGAACCAGCGAGAAAGAGAGCGAGATGAAAGCATGTAGGCTACTGGAGCAGTCCAGATGGCCAGACTGTGAGCGTGTGAAGCGTCCTGACTCGGTACTAGACGGAAACACAGAGCCCAACCCCACCTGTGTGTCCTGGGGAGCACATTTATCTGAAAGCCTGCGCTTCATAACAAAAGCACACACTCACACACACCCACACACTCAAACCTGACTGACCTCATTGTTGGCGGCAAATTTCTCACAGGCTGTGACGCACAGCTCCATAGTCTCCACGCGCATCTCCTCTGGCATATCTGTGTGCTGCAGATGAAACCAACACCACATATTCTAGTCAAGCTCTTACAGGTGTAATGGAATCATTTTTATAAAGAAAGAAATTATAAAGAAAAACTGCCACTGAAATATCTGGAGTCAGTAAGACTTCTACTTTTTTATTCATCATAGATGCGATCATTTGAACAACAGTAAAAAAGACTTCTACATTGTTACAAAAAAATTTATTATCAAATAAAAACATCAAATCGATACTGATTTACTAAAATGAGGGAACTAGGTTGTGGGAAGTAATTCTTAATGCGTGGCCACAATTGAACTAAAATTAGGGAATTAATTAATAAAGCAACTGAACAAATTAAACAAATGATGGATGAATATATAGTTTT